ACTGGATCCATGGTGTGCCATCCTCATCATAGTGAGCGTTGGCATCCTCGGTGTCAACCTCATCACCATACTTCAGCCTGTAAAGCTCTTTGACCTCTGCCAGCTTTTGCTCGAGCTTTTCAATCTTGGCTTCGAATGATAGGCTTGTACCAGAAGCCTGCTGGAGAGCCATTGAACTTTTGTTTGTTTCCTTGTTGCATGTTGTAGCCCTTTGCATTTGCTAAGATTCCTATTGTTTCCACAACACTATACAAGCACGCAGAATTCCTTTAACACCCCTTGTCCTTCATTTGAGTAAGCCAAGGAGAAATAGACACCTGCGAAAGTCGGACCAGGAATGGAAACAAGGCGAAACAATATCTTGTAGTGAACGCAAGGCAATACAAGCGCGATGCGCCGGTTTTGCCTGCGAGCTGTATTCACCTGGGACAGAGTACCGAGCAAGGACTGCACATGTTACAACATTCCTGACTCACCTCATATTGTTCTTGCATTAAACTAAGCTGATCAAACTGCTGCAGGAATACATCTACTGAATCTACTGAAAGTAGATTTCCTGGCTTGGGAGTGTCATTCTTTTTTGACACTCTCGAAAATACAGCTTCGAGTCGAAGAGACGGAAACCAATCTGCCTCCAGCGCAGGGGCTGCCACCCGCGCCACTGTCCTGCACTATCAACTTGCCATTGTTCACAAGAGTTTTCCCTTCCGCCCATAGCAGCTATAGCATCATTTTCACACTCGATACACTGCCTCAATCTTGCCATACTTGCGCTCGTAGATCTGTTGGACATTGCGAAGGGCATCCTCGCAATGGGCAAAAGCTCTTAGAGATTCGTTCCCAATGACGTGACTGTAAACGATAGTTCTTTAAGAATCCTCCAAGTTGTCAGGGCTTTCGAAAGGTATACCTGGACACATGCAAAAGTAACAGCAAAGTGATGCTGAGACAAGAGTCACAAGACGTCGCAGACGCTATGCATTGCTGGAGCTGAGGAAATCACAATCCTCTGGCTCCTCAGGAATTGACAATTGCCTCAAGGACCAGATGTCAAAACATCTCATGTATCAAAAGGCGACAGTGGTGACAATCTGCTCGTGCCTTGTGAGAAAAGGGTGGTGGTCTTCGTCGAAGTCATGCTGAGATGGCAAGCAGCACCACAACAAAACAAACTGCAGTGATGATGAGATTTGCAGGTCCAACCATTCGTATGACTTTTTTGTTCACTGAAAGCTGCTGAGTTGCTCCGTCGAGGTGAAGGCTGGGGAGGCGAAACTGCATGTTCGGAGTTGTCCTGAAGTCTGTCGCTTCAACGAAAACCTTACTCTCTCCGCCTTTCTTACACACTCCCTCCGTCCCTCCGTCCCTCCCTCCCTCCCTCCTCTCTTCCCTCCTCTCCTCCCCCTCTCTTCTCTGCTCTTCTCTCCTCCCCGCTCCTCCTCTCATCTTTTCTTTCTTCCTTTCTCTCTCTCTCTCTTTCTCTCTCTCTCTCTCTCTCTCTCTCTTTCTTTCAGCATCTCTCAGCCAAGAAACGGTGCCGTGCTTGCCTTGCAAGGCCAGGAGATGACAAATACTAAAAACCCTCAACCATGGCGATGATGCTAATCATTGCTAATCCTTGCATTCATGCTTTCCTTCTTTAAAGCTTCGGACGATCCGCTTCAAAACTCAAAAATGGCCTGTGAAACAGGCGTGGACGCGAAGGCATGGTGATGTGCCTGGAAACGAAATGGATCGAGGGAGCGGAACTGAAGCAAAACGCTGAAAAGCTTGGGACGCCTTACTACTCCAAGGAAGTGTTGTCGTTGTCGCTGTGTTCATCGAAAGAAAAGATGCTAAAAATACTTCACAGTGAAGTCCAAGATCTCAGGGCGAACACAAGGAAAACAAACCGGGTCAGGTTTTTGTGCGGTTGAAGCCGACCTGTTGAAGCTTGCCCCAAAAGCTACAGGCTTTTGTGTGATTTCCGACGTGTTAAAACCTTTAGCTTGGCCATTTGGTCTTCTCATGTTTATCTTCGCCAACCGCCAACATCTGATGCCTTCGCTGTCGGTATCATGTCTTCTTGCGGTGCTTTTCGGTTGAGACTATATATATATATTTCCAAGGAGTTCATATTGGGAAGACTTTCTCTTCATTTGGGCCACACCCCTGCTCGTCCGCCAATCCTGACTATATAATAGTAATTCAGTTCAGCTGAGCAAGGCAGTAATCTTGCAACGCATTTGCTAAGTGCTCTTATAGCTTTGACTTTATTCAATCTCTCGCTGCCTGGAGGGAAATGGCAAGTTGTGCCTTTCTGGCTGTACAGCATTTCAGCACTGCAGCATTCTGTTTCAATATCTGTGGCCGAAATGTTCAGTTGGGACCGCACTGTATCGAAAGAAAGGCACTTGAAGCTGGGTACCTTCTGTCAGATTGACATTGCCCTAATGGCAAAGCGTGCGTAGCTAATGCTGCTCTTTGAGCTTGCAGGAAGGCAGAGGTTCAGCCTCTTGCAAGCTACGCATACACATGACACGGGAAGGACACTATATAGATAGACCAATTCTACTTGGATTCCAGTTTCAGGCTTTGACTTCCACTAGAATCGCTAGAACTTCAACTCTAGGTGGTGTTGGTACGTGGCTTCGTGCAATCAACCGATTTTGAGACAAAAGGGTTGCAGTTGTTTGAGAAACTTACGTGGAACCCCTCTGTGTGTGTGTGTGTGTCATTATTTGGTACACGTATGTATAGCCTGGTAGAGCAAGAACTGCCAGGTTGATAAAGGTAAAATATGGTAAAGATCGGCAGAGTACAAGAGCATGATGCCAAACACTGAGAAATGAAACATCCCAAGCCCTACATCACTTGCCTCCGTGTGCTTCTTCGGGTCGAGGGGGCTCGCGGGCTCTGTACCGGCGAGCCCCCCAGCGGCTATCTCCTTAAGCTCCAAATCAGGACGAGCAAACCTCGGCCCAGCCGGCAGAAAGAGCGAATTTGTTTATGTGTCCTCCTTTTAACCTACTTAATCAAGTAAGGAATTGAGGTAGCTAGTAGGTACAGGACGCTCCTACTGACAGGACGCGCTAGACTAGACTATTGATTTGGTTTCTAGATTGTTACGGAAACTTAACATCAGCGACTCGTCAGCGGAAGCTCTCTGTGATCCGAACGACATCTTGAGTACGGACTCAAGTAAAGAACTAGAAATGCACGTTTGCAGGAGCTTGAGCTGAAACTGGCACTTGAACAGCAAGCAATGATTCAGCCGCGGCTTGGCATAGTCGGTGTTCCCTGACAAGCCATACTTGTAACTTGGAGTTCAGCAAAACACAAACCTTACTCGAAGCTCGGCAGAATCTTTTGCCCTTCACGCGATCTGCATTGTTGCATTGTCCTACAAACACCTTGGCCCTACCATTTCGGGCTTTTCAGTGTTTCCTGCAAAGTTCTTTGACCTTGAGACACATTGGGCGTTCACGATGTACAAGTACTTGCAAGCAGCGCGCTTCAGTATGTGGGCGAGGATGATGCCACAGGTGCCTGCTCAAAGTATGCACAGCGCGTCACAGTTTGAATGCCTCCATATCGTCCCGTATCTAAAGAGGCGCGCCACCAAGTTGGTTACTGGCGAAACCATCGGATATGGAGAAGCCTCAGTCAACAAAGTCAAGAGCACCAAGGCACAATGAAGTCAACAAGTCAAAGAAGAAGTGCCCCTGACATTCACTGACATGGCTGCCACGTTCCCAAGTTTGAGAAGCCAACCCCAACTGGTCCAAGGGTTGGTTGCTCCTTGTATACATGTTCCAAACATGACAAGTTGAACAAAAGACATTCATCACTGACCTCCCATCGTGCCAAAGGTAATTCCGGAAGTCCATCAACATTCCGCTTGGCAGCCTGGCACTATCTGCGTCTCATGATCACCTCTCTCAAACCCACTCACCTACTCAGTACCCACTCTCCTACAAATACTCTGTGTATTTGCTTCTCTCTCTCTCTCTCTCTCCCTCCCTCTTTCCCAATGAATGGAATTAGAAGTGCCAAAAGCGCAGGCCGACCATCGTGTGCCGCAGAGCTAGATGCTTCTGCAGTTTCTGCTGCTGTGCCATCTGCTCCTGGCACGAAAACGGGGAAAAAATGATTGCGGTAAAAATCCGCCACACGTTTTGGTATTACGAAGCGGTCCTCGAGATTACGAACTCTTAGTCCAGCCTTTTGCTGCACCTGTCCAATTCAGGCTGTCAGTCTAGCGAGAGAGAAAGAGAGAGACCCGCTCTCATTGCGGGCACTGTATACAATAAACCAACCAGTGTTTTTGACAGCTGACAGAGAACTTCGCATCATTTTGTCGCGTCGGTAGCCAGTCTCTCTCTATGAGACAATTTGGATGCTCCGTGATCAGTGCATGCAAATGATCAGCCTTGGTTCAAACAGCAGAAGCCAAGAGTAGAACATCACAAGGAATAGTCCGGTTATGCTGCAAAGCTCATGGCTCAGAAGGGTTGGGTCATCACTGATGAGGACGTGCGTTCTGGCCTGCGATGTTTGACTTCACCCCACTTTTCACGGTCCAACGTTTGCAACCGAGCTCCCAGCACTCGCCTCGAGGAGTTCCAATATGTCCTCCTCTCCGATCCCCGCTCTTTCCCAAGATGTGCGCTTCCAGGAGACCTCTGAGATCGATCGAAAAAACCGATCGATCTCCACTCTCGACCTGTTCGGACCTCCCGGCTCAAGGGCTGCAGCGTCAGCTCGCCATTGGCTGATCTCAAAAGCTCTCCTACAAGGGTCACCTGGGCACAGCGAACTCCCGAACTCCCACTGAGCGATGCCAGGAGCCCCGAGTAGCTTCTTGTTACTAGTGCTGGAGTCCGGACTGTTTTTGCGCTTTAGACTGTACACCGGCCACCTCTCTAACATCCGTGTTGGGGGTGTGAACTATTGGCAAAGGCATTCACAGCCCCAACCCTTAGGTTTCGCGACAACACAGCGTTTGAGACAAGCAAAACTGGCTATTCTTCTGATAGGCGAGTATGACAGGGGCTCACCAAGCCCACAAAATTTTAAAGATTGATTTGATCTACTTGAATCATCACAGCGTCAAGATTATCTGCGACATCACTAGCAAACACGCTTCGTCGGCTGGGTCAGCGATTCAACAATTCCTACACGCAGCACTGACCTTTGATGACAGTAATCATATGTTATTATCTGTTCACCGTGCTCTGGGCTGGCTGGTAAGGGACGTAGGCGTGCAGTGGTTGCCTGAACCCTGACCATTGCAGTATTCCAATTATTCTTTATAACCACGCTGTTCGTTGTTGTGTGTATGGTTGCCTTGTTAAAATCTTCATACGAGCACTTCGACAACGACTTCAGACACTCCCAAGAGCCGCAATCTATGGCCCATGCTGTGTCTCCTGTCTTCAAGCAGCATTCATGAAACTCCACAGCGGTACCTCAAAGTAAACAACACAACAGAACAGGTACAAGTCAATGCCTTCGAGCTTAGCGTTCGGCCTTTTGCTCTTAGCTCGTTCTCCAAGGCATGATTGTCCGACGATCCGGTTCCTCCAATGGTGAATAGTTGAGAATGCTAGTTTAAAATCGTGGGTCCAACTGAGAAAGCGAGCAGGAGATATGGCGACAAGATGTGACTACATTATATTGTAGCTGAGACCTGCTCCAGGCAGATGGACAGAGACAAAGTCTTGCCTTAGAACTGTTCCCAAATGACGGTCACTAACACGCTGCTTTTCCACAGGTCCAGACCAATGATCTGGAGCACATGGAAAAGGTAAAACCTCTTCGCTTTTGGCAACACAGCGAACCGCAATGCGGCGAAGCATGCAAAAATAACACGTTAGAGTAGTCATGGCCTCTGCAAATTCGCATTCTTTCGTAGCGAAAAGGTTCACCTTGCGCCGCTTTTGCTATGTGTACAACCCACGTGCTGGAGGCGACGAACTGGGCCGCAGACTTCAGAGCCGGCCACTCGAATGACCACGGAAGGGGAGCCCCGCAAAGTCACCGAAAAGTCCATGTGCTGCGAAGCAAAGGCCAGCGGCACTGACATACCTACAGATTCAAACACTCAGATCATAGATCATTGTCGAATTGCTTTAAAAACTAACTGTGCAAGCGTGCCAAGTAGGCCTGCAAAGTAGAAACTGAACATGGTTTTAATCGGGGCTAATACTTAAGAGTCCCTAAGAATCTAGGAACCAAATCATTAAGAAGCGCGAGCTATCCTGCGTCCTAGGTAGTAGCGTTCTTGTAGCTACTAGCTACCTAGCTCCTACTAGCTACTACCTCACCTCTACTCGCGGCCTACCCCCACTAGAAAATAAATATATATATATATATAATAAATATAGTAAATATGTTGAAAAAAGTCCAAACATCATCTCCGCACCTCCGTGAACCTTGCGAGAAGCATGAGCCTGAAGGTGACTAGCTGTCACGAGAATCCGTGAGAGCAGCACCTGGGGCCCCTCACCGTGTACAGAACACAAGGTCGCCGAGTTAGGGGTGATTGGAGAGGTTCAGTGTCAGCCTTGGCAGTCAGCTGATCTTAGACCAAGTCCGCTGCAGACTTTAAGTCACCCTGTCCTAAAATGTGCAAATACGCAGGACCGGGACACCCTTTAAGACACGCGTGCAGCGTGTGCCGTAGTGGCGGCTCGAAGCGTAGGTCCAACTTAGAGCATCTGCTTAAAATCGCTCGGTAACAACGAGGACATGAACCAAAGGGTTTTAGCTTTTGAGGGGGGAGACCGCCCCGCCCGCTGTCCCTCCAGTCAAACGCGAGACCTTCAATCTACAGAAAGGGCACATAAAGCCTGTCACAGATGTTTCAGTTGAAGCCCGGTCGATGTAAGCAACCGCCAAAACCAGCGATGGCTACTCAGCAAAAAGCGGTCGTTGCATTTAGAAGTTGGGCCCAAAGAGGCCCAAAGCTGTAAAAGTGAGAGGCCCCCCTCTCAACAACCATATCAATCTCAACAACTGGCATTCAGTTCAAAGCATGGCTGTGGCCCTAAAAGGAATTTTCCCTATCCAAAACGGTGTTCCCTATCCCACAAAGGTTTAGGTCAGGTGTCAATGACTTTGTTGAGTTTGTGTCTTGTCGTGAAACATTTATATACTTGCACCAACAAAACAATGACAAGCCGCTTCGATCATAAGCTTGACTGGATCGAGCACAATGCTTGATCTCTTCAAACAAATGCAACGCCACGTTTTACCACAGCCTTTTGGATCCTGCACCGGCTCTTTCCTTCACAGATGGTTGTAATCAAGCAATTCAGTACTACAATGGCATTGAGGGCATGCAGCATTGACTCGCTGTCCCTAGCCGACATAGCGTCCATCACCAAAAGCAGAGCTTCAGAAACAACTGTTCGATTCCTTCAAAAGAAAACCATAGAGACTTGAAGCGACACAGCTGTCTTTGGCGCGCGGGTTAGAATCAAGGCCAATCGAAAACACGGAGTCCAGTACCACAACTATCTTGGGTTCTCCGATATATGATATATCATGTAATGATTGAAAGCCAACACATCAATCAGTGTCCGCATGGTTCAATACCTTTTTTCAACCTTGGTCTTCCTCCGATGTGTTCCTTTTGTAACTTGCAAATGGCTTTGTGAGGGTGTACAGGGTACATGCAGCACGCACTGGGTTCTACCTCAATTGGACAAGCAGCCTTTAGCTGCATGCAACCTGCTCGAAGCAAGAGACATTGTTGGCAATGACTGGGGCAAAAGGTTCATGCGGCTGGCTTCACCGCTTCACATATTGCACCTATATTGCACCTCATCGGAGTGAATGTCCCAAGGCGCCAAGGAAGATGTGCATTTCCGGAGAGTATTTCTTTCAAAGCACATGAAGCGTCTTCCATCTATGGAGACCTCATGCAAAAAGAGGTGAAGGTGTCGGCGCCGAGCAAGGTTGCAATGAATCGGAGAGAAACCCCCTATGGAAGAAGGCGCAAACTCGAGAATTTGTGCGATCCGAAGGTAAAAAACATACTGTTCCTAAAAATGGAAAGCTTGGCCAAGAAGGGTTTACGCAGAATTTGAAAGATCGACATAGGTACTAGGTACAGCCTGTTCATTGAACCAAACGTTTTGCATCGAGAGAATCAAGTCGGTACATTGAAGTGATGGTGAGAAGTGAGAGTGGGAACTGTTACTGTTAAGCATCTGCAAGTCCTTTATATCACAATCATTGCAAGAGGCAGATCTTGACTCAGGTCTATCTGACTTGTTTGCCAGACTAGATAGATCAGAAACGAAAAATGTCAGGAATGCCTCGACTCTGAGCTTCACTCTGGATCTTGGATCACCGCTTCAAGTCTGAGCAGCCTCAAGAGACTGCAGATCCCAGCACAGGTTTTTGTCTTTTCGATCCTTTTTTTGAACCCGGAAGAATGCCTCTATCTTTCACCAAGAAAGCGTAGCTTGATGTCAAAATCAACATGATCTTTCTGAGCTTTGTGCCAGCGGCTGCTCATGGGCTTCGAGAAAGTCACATCATATCCACCAGCAGAAGGAAGCAGCTTTTCAACCTTCGAGAAGCTGTAAAACTGTTAAAAATCTTCAATGGAAACTGTCGTCCTTCTTTGTGCGGTCCAGTCGCATGGGGTGCAGCACTCACGGGCAGCGCCTGATCGCCACAAGATCGCCCGGTGCAACTCAGACGAATAAAGCCTTCTTGTTACTAGTAGCTTCTTGCTACTAGCAGCAATGCCACGAGCCCCTAGTAGCTGCTCCTAGTAGTATGGCCAGGAGCCCCTAATAGCTTCTTGCTCCTAGTAGCGAATAAAGTCCGCCAGGCCCCGGCCCAGCCTCTATGCACGACCGAAGTCCGCCCGAAGGCCCCAAATCTGAGTTGTGCGGATCCTGCACTGCATTTGCAGCACTGAAACTTGCACTGCACAAGATCAGAGTTGCATCTAAGTTCTTGTGTTATTTCACAGCCAAGACTTGCTGTCAGGCCTTGTCGTCCTTTTTTGACCTGAAATCTGCGTCCAACTACAAAAACTGCCAATGCCATAGCATCGACATAAGTGCTCTTGAGCCACCGACTTTCGCACAGCACATTGACCCAGACTCCCCTCAACCAGGCTTGCCTCAGGCTTTGACCAGGCGACCGCCAGGCTTGTGTCAAATCACCTGACCCTTGAGGCTCACCAAGGCTTTGACCAGGCTTTTCGAGGGTCCCTCTGGTCGGCTCACACGTTCCTTCTTTTCCTCCAAGACATGTGTGTTCCAAGATGTTCCAAGTGTTTATCCTTGTCCTTGTGTAGAAAGCCCAGCCTTTAACTCGCTACCTGTGGGTTCCACAATGGCATGAGGTGCTCGCTTGATGACCGTGTCAGCCTTTGCAAAGGGGATAAAGCACACAAAGCGCGCTCACCCATCCGGAAGCCAGAGAAATATGTGTATCGTGCAGTTTAAGTTTCTCCTAGTCTAGCCGAGTTCAATGTGGCACTCTCAACTTCTCTCAGGTCATTCCATGCCTTCACAGTAGCCAAGAACATCAGCCCAAGAAGAACTGCCAGAACGAGAATGAGAATGAAACAGCACCTGAGACTGGAGATGGTGCGAAGATCACAGAACTCATCTGAGCTGTAGAAGCACTACGACAGCTCCGGTGCGAGACCCCCACAGCAGCATATTCCGCCCTCCGTGTGCCACCTGAACTGCGACCATCACACTCTACTTGCCATCAAATCTTTCTGGTTGGGTTTGCCTTGGTGTGCACGTCCAAGCCAAACCTTCAGGAGTTTCAGCAAATCTATGTGAAGTTTTAGAGTTGCCACCCTCACATGCACTTGCAAGACAAGTCCGAGAAAAGGGGCGAATGGTGCTGCTCTACTTGGCACACAACGCACCGCTGCAAAAGAACGGCCTCTTTGCCATCCAATCCACAAGAACATTCTCCCCAGAGCGCTGCACAGTTCTCTCCACCTTCAAGAAACTATTTTCTGACTGCTTTATAAACATGTTGAATTCTCTTCATGTCTACCAGGCAAGTAGGATAAGCAGCAAAAAGAACATTACATGCAAGGACCCAGAAGAACACTCGCTGTAGGAAAGGGTTCATAGATGTGTGTGAAAAAGAATGTGCGGTTCTTTGTTGAATGATTGCTGAGGATTGCTGAGATCCTTCGCAGGCCTCACGTCTTACAATGGAGGGCGTGGACAACTCTACCACAGATGCATCATCGGAGTGTGCAGGGAGTTCCTGACATGCTGATCAAGCACACTGGATGCAAAACAAAGCCACTTTGATGTCAAAGGAGGCACAGCGAAACAGGAAGGGGGAGGGATTAAGGATAGTGCACATTTGCTATCCGGGTTGACTGCCTACGACTATCCGAGTTCCCTCCTCCTTCTTTTCATCTCTTCGTGGCAAGGTAAAGTCATCACTATCCTGCGGCAAAAGAAAGCAAGCAAGTCAGTGTGAAGTCTTGCTCAGCCCTGCTTTCGACAGTTGTTCTGAAGAACTTGTCATCAGCTGGGCGACTACCCAAGTCTTCCTGTTCTATGCAACAACCTGCAAGTTGTGTTGAAGCAAAAAGAGTGCCTCAGGTTCTCCCTCCGCAGCTGGATCCTCTCCGATGTGCCGGATACAAGAATCCCTAAAGAATCGAACAATTCAGTTCACATGGCGATAAATCCACAAGCAAAGGTTGTTCAGCATTCTTTATCTAGAGGTATTATTGCAAAAATGCAAATAGCAACATCCACATGTGTAAAGCAAACCAACCAAACAAAAACAATATATATATATACATATATATTGTAAGAATGAGGTTTGTCCCTTCCCTTCCATCCTTCTCCACCCTCACTGAGGGAGGAGACAAACCATCCGCTACACTCGAATTCATCCAGTCCTCCAAGTCATCCAGGTCCAAGTCCTTGGCTTCAAACTCTTGCAGCGTGTGAAGACTCAAAGACTTGCTTTGACACGTTGCATGTTGCATGTCTTTGCAGTTTGGGATCATCCTTTTCGTGAAGCTCGGCCACATCCCTGCCAGCCATTGGCATTTCCCCAGTCTCCTCAAGCTGACAGCAACACTTTTAGAGGAAAAGCTTGTGGAACACTGCTCTCTGGAAATGTTGCCGACAAAGAACGGTTAGACTCATTTCACCCATTCCGAAACCCCTTTTCGCTTCGAGCGTCTCTGACAATACGCATCTCATCGGGCCGGTGAAATGGTCCCTGGCACCGAGCATGCAACGGATCGCGATGCCAGGAGCCCCTAGTAGCGTCCTTGCTCCTAGTAGTAAGGCCAGGAGCCCCTAGTAGCTTCTTGTTCCTAGTAGTAATGCACTTGTTACTAGTAGCGATGCACTCAGCTACAGCAAAAAAACACACAGGATCCAGCCTGTTCCGACTCTTCCTGAAAGAAAGTCACGGGGAGGACTCTTTGTCCTCGTGCCTCAGAAAAAAGAGAATGACCAAGCGAATTACAGTGGCATTGAACCATGCCTCCATTCTCCGGTTGGTATGCTTCCTCTCAGGCCTCACTCCCAACTTCAATGGGGCAGCAATGCATAGTACACACAAACTTCCCTTCGGTTTTCCGAGTGCTCTGCGCTTTTTTCGAATGTCTCACTGGCTTTCGGTGGGTCAGGCTTCCTTTCGAATTCACCTGACTGTTTGCAGTCAAACCTCTAAGCACAATAAAAAGAACATCAGCTGGCCGTTCAACCGTCACTTCGGTAGATGCCTTCGGTTAGATGCCTAGGTGACTAGGTGCGGGAAAATACTTTCATCATTGGCCACACCTCTGGTAAGCGGAGAAAACATAAGAGCTTCTTATTCATGTAAGAGATTCTCTACAGCAGGGTCAAAAGAATATATCGCAGTATCTCTGAAGCTCATTCGGCATTCAAAACTTTAATTTAAGATGTGTGTGTATATATATATATATGTGTGTGTATATTACTCCTTCTATCGTAAGAATCTCAGTCCGAATGGCCTCAGTCTCACTTTTGGCGCGTGACTTCTGAACCTCCGAGGTTCAAGACGTGTCAAACGAAAAATGGCAACGTGTCAAGTTCCTGTTTCTTCGACCAAAAAGACGTGAGTCACTTCGCCTTTGAGGTCACCGGGATCTGTCTGTGTCTATGTTCTTTAGGCCTCCCTTCCTCGATCCTTAGTCAATCAGCAAATCCTGGAGTACCTACTAGCGCCTCCAACCTGCTAGCGATGGCCTCCAACCTACTAGTTACTAGCGATGGCCTCCAACCTACTCCCTGGTACATGTCACCTTTCTACCATATTCGGGTCTTGAGATACTGTCACCATCATTACGTCTGTCCGTTTTTGCAAAGAGCTTTGCCCTTTGTTGGAAAGCTCTACTCAATAGAACTGCAAAAGGAACTCAACCCCAGTTGATTGAAAGAGTGACAATGTGATGAACTGCTTGGAGTAACTGTTCTTTTGCAGGCACCTGATCGGCCAAACATTTCCAACAATCTATATACTATATAAGTTTGGTAGCCCCTACAAACCTTGCGGCATGTTGCATCGCGAAGTGTCTACAAAACACTGCAGACTGCAACCGATGTATTGAATTGACATTTCATTCAATGAATATGCGTAGAACAAGCATGACATGACGTCGTGGCAAACCTTGAATTGCCACATCAAGCTCAAACTCACATTGCAGACTGACACTCTGGAATGATGTGGCAGTAGTCATACAATTACACTTGTTGAGAACCATGAGTTCTAACAAGCCAAGGTGCTGATGATCTGCATCATACCGCACCTGGAAATGCTCGGACTCTTTTTCGATGTCCAAGAGCTAAGAGCTTCAGTAAGCCCACGACATTGGACAGCGTTCTGTCTCATGTTGAGCGACATTGTTCGGGGATGCTCACCGGAAACAGGCAAAACAAACACGCATTGTGTCGCCTCTACATTCGACAGCCGAGGCCCATGTCTGGCTTCCTCAAGAGCAATTCCCGATCGTACACAAAATTGGAATTGTCCGATCGAGTTGGCAACCTCTAGGCCGTTCGCAAGCAGAATTGAAAGCCTTGGAGAGTAAGGACATGCACTGTTAAGAGCTGCTATAGCTGCTTGAGATAGCTTGCCGTCAAGCCACAAGCAACTAATCAGGAACTGCATCGCATTTAGAGAAGCACCTCCCAAGCGGGGACAAACAGTGTGCATCCTTGGGCATGCTGACTTAGATTCTCCAACCTCCGAATAGGTTCGAAAACGAGGGCGATAACGAGGACCAGCAAGCCTCAGCACACGTTAGAGCAAAGGTCCTAAAGATTCTTCCAAAGAGCCAACTTGCGCTGAGAAGCTACTGTCGAGCAACTTGCTGGTTCGCAAACATGGATAAGAATTATAGACAACGATGCGGGCGGAAGGCCAACCACAGCCCTTCCCTTGGGCCAAAGGCAGCCATATTCAAAAACTTTTGGCCCGCATTCTCAGCAGCTGCACTAATTCGCTTCTCAGCAGCTGCACGAACTAAACCTAACATGTGCCACTTCATTGGCTAAAATAGATTGCCTCCCAGTGGTGCATCTCAACTTCGTGCTTATGGCGATTGATGTCCTGCAGCTTTGATCTTTTCTGCCTGTTGGGCCCTCTTGTGACTACAAAGGGACTCGAGGCTTGTCAAGCAGTGAAAGTACAGAAAGCCTTCTTGTATCCAAAAGAGCTTTTGAAAAGCGCAGTAAAGACACGTCTCTTGGGCTGATAGGCTGGGGCAATGAATCCCTCCTCCTGGGTTCGGCGAGCTTGGTATTCAACCACGAGCTGATTAGCCTGCAGTTGAATCGTTTCTTGATCGGCTCAAATGACATCAAGTACTGCAACTTGAAGGACAACAAAAACTTATCTTTCAAAAGAGTGGCCTGCTCCTCCAGCTTCAAACGCATTTGTCGGGCAGACTGGCGAGTGCTTGAGCTTGCAGGCTTCTACACGTGGCACAGTTTCAGGTAAGTTTGAGAGTTCTTCGATCGGCCTCATGTAGCTCAGCCAGGGACTTCTGAAAATCCTGTTCTGCAGATATTTCCTGGTGTCTCCAAATGAATCAAAATGTCTCCCAATATCTGCAAGTGTCAAGTATTTGTCCAAGGTCCAAATGAAAAAGGTACGCTTCCTGCGCTCTTAGGTGCTGATCCCAGCGACCAGCTGCAACCTGACCCAGGGGGGCACAAGCTGCAACCTGACCCTACGTAGTCTTCGTCCTATTCTGCAAGCAAAACATGTTGATTGCAAGGACTTCATGTAAAGCAAGAGTTTGAGTATATGTACTTTGTATGTGAAGCAAACTGTATAAGCAAACAAGAAGAATGCAAACAGTCAATATGACTTCGCTACAATTTGTCCTTCCCATTGTCTTCTTTGAAGCTTGGACGCCGACCTCTTTGGCCTGTGAAGCCTGGGCGCGCAGGAAGTCTTTCTCCCGCCGTGTCTGATCCTAGTCACAAGGCAGGCTCACAGGCAAGTACAATTTGAACTTTCTCTGAGAAACAAAGCTCATGCCTTGCAAACTGCCACCCTCACCTCCAAAAGCAATTGCGCTTGATGCAACTGCTCATCCACCTCCCGATAGTTCTGCTCCTGCAATGTGTTTAGCTTCTTTGACTTGTTTGTCAGACGAAGGAATCATCATGTAGCATGATTCAAGACAGCCAGAGCGTCCTTTTGAGCATTCACTACATCTGGAGGAGGCAAATGACGAGTGAGGCTTGCCTTAAAGGGTTCACCAAAGCATCCTATTTCTGACCAAGCCGAGAGTCTAGATGTTGTTTCAAATGTTGGAGGCGCGCAGTGGCAAGGCGTGTCTTTTTCCGTATCGCACTCTCCGAGTCCTCCTTTCGAGGCTGCCTCTCTGCTTATGCAGCGGCTAGCGATCGATGGGAGCAATTCCACTTCGAACAGCTCCAACTGTTTCGCATTGAGGCTATGCAGCCATCGAGCATTGCAAAACTAAACTGGGAAGACTTCGTCTAGAAAGAAGCCATGAAGTTATCTGCCTCACCAAGCGGAAGTACGAAGGCCGACCTCCTTAAGCCTCTGTGACAAGACCTGACGTTTGCTTTATCTTCAAGAGAAAAACGTACAAACGGTCAAAATGAAGCCATTTGATATCCGGGTCACATCTTCCAACGACGTTTGCTTTATCTTCAAGAGAAAAACGTACAAACGGTCAAGATGAAGCCATTTGATATCCGGGTCACATCTTCCAACGACTGCAAAGCCTCCAACTCCAAGGGTCCAGCCACTTGGTCCTTCAGCGCAAAACTGACTTGTCAGTACGTTTCATAGAACAAGGCCAGCTTACTTAGCCTAGGGCACTTGATAGGGCTTGGGATGCAAATCGTTGAGAAAGTAGAAGCATCCGACAGTGTTGGTCCAACAGCTCCATTCTAAATCGCTCACTGTGCTTTCCACACCCCACGCACCACAGCAGGAGTTCGTCAAATGTCACCCAAGTTCATCCTCTAAATGTGAGTCACCTCATTTGGCATGCTTTGCCCAAACTCTGTTAAAATTCCCAAGCCTGTGCAGTCTGGCCAATCTTTCGCGGCTAACTTGTCCTTGGCAGATTTTACCTCAGCGTCATCAAAAGACTAGCTTTAAAAACCTTGTGACAAGCTCAGTGAATCTCGACAACAACTGGAACAGCATTGGCCCAAAGACAGCACAATGTGCTTTACTGGAGACGCTGGGCAAAATGGGAATGTAGACCCTTGGACACATTTTGGGGGGATGAATCCAAGGAAGACCAGCAGAGTACAGAAACAAGACAGCATGGCTACGGTGTGGACCTTTAGTGTGGAGACCTGAACAAGTCAATTGTGGACACATGTGCAAACCAGGGCAAGAAAGCGACTTGTGACAGGATGGAGTCTACGCTGTTTGAACATTAAGTGTGCCACTTGGATCAGTTGCTTCGCTAGCCAGGATTTCAAGTCCAAGAAAATATCGTCCTTGCAAACCCGGAAGATTCAATGACCATGAGCGATGTGGTGTGAGCGTTTGGGTTCTAGCTCTTTTGCTTGAAGGCCAAGAAGCGAATGAAGCCAATTGACCAGCTCAAAAGGTGACGTACCTGAAAAGAGGAAAATCGAAAATCTGGCCTCGTTCAGATTCTATTTTTCTTTTCAGCCTTTCTTTCCGTCCCGAGGATCCTGGACATCGCTAGCCCAACTACAAACAAGAAAACACACTTTAGTGGACAGTAGACGGAGTATATCCCTTGATATGTCTTTTCTTTCATCAAAAGGACACTGGGAACAGGCGGTGACGTCCCGTTGCTGTGATCTCACATGTCTCCCGCCCAGTGTGATTGTGTCAACTCAAATGTTCTCGAACCAAGCTTTAAACTGGTCAGCTCTTTCGTGTGTACCCATTCAATACACACTACACACACACACCACACTACATATACAGTAATAGTCTAGCATAGCCTAGCAGCACAGCCTAGCTGCAACACAAACGCTTCATCTTCCGACTGTTGTCCCATATTGTGACCTGTTCGAGGCGACACCTTGTTCACCCGTCCCAGCCTGACAAAGACCTCAGACCTCCATGACGGAGAAGGCTGCGCCTGACCAGGACTGTTCATTTTCGGGACTGGCAAATGCCAGAATTCCACAAGAACTGTGCTGGGCCGCAAGAAGCCTGTTTCTGCAAGCAATTCCAGCGAGGCCATATCTACAAAGCAGTTGAAGGCCATAGAAGCACTGGAAACTGCTGATCGCAAAGGTCAGTTGAGCATTGTCCTCTTCTCCGCATCTCTTCACATCATCTTGTGAAGTACACCTTCATTGATGATGGAGCTGCTGCACTCAGCTTGGATTCGCCCTGTGCCGTAATCTTATTTTCGCCAATATACAAGTGCCGCAATGACGTTGCTTCTGGCAGCGCCGCTGCTAAACTCTCAGCACCTGCATCAAAGATCTCGTTCTCATCTATTCCCACCTCCTGAGATAAGCAAGCGAGCCTTGCGGCTGTTTCAACATTCATTACAAACAGGTCTCAAATGCTCCCGTCTGTACTGTAAGCCCACTCGGACACTTGTTGTCACTTGTTATGGGATTAGACCATCAGAAAAAAATAAAATAAATAAAAAAAAAGATCAGAACTTGGAAACCTGGTGTGCTGTGTCCACGTGTCCACAATCGTCTTGCTCCGCTTGATGAGTTCAGCCACTGCATCTGCAGCACCATTTCCAAGTTTGCAATGTCGGAAGCCCACCAGCTCCAGGGAACCACCTGGTCGGCTAAGAAATATACAAACCATACATCTGAGAGACAACAACACAAAGAAACGAGCAAGGAATGTACCTTTACAATCCTTTTGGCATGTTCAACTCGTTGCAGGCATTGGGTAAACTGGAAGCTTCCAAAGTGTGGGCCCGGCTTGCAGGGCTTGCCCGGCTGTCTCTGAGTGTCTCCTACTACTAGTAGCTCAACTCACGCGTTTGCCAAGCTACCTTCAATTCCAGAAAGAGCTTCACATAAATGTCTAGCCCCTTCGTCGCTAAAGTCGTTGTATCCAATGAAGAGCTGCCTGAGATTGGTGTTCTTCTTCAAATACGGAGCTATGGCAGCGCAGTCCGCATCCGTGACTTGGCGACTCTTGAGGAACAGAGTGCTGCTGTTCTGAAGGTCTTCCACACTTGCACCAAGGTTAGCTGGCACTGTATCCATTTGCACCGCAAAACCTTCTGAGCCGAATCTGTCCTGCAGCTCAGCTCAACGTCGATCATGCCAACCTACACATAGGAGTCGATGCTAGACAAAACTCCAATCAAACAAAGCACACCCAGGAGGTGCTTGATGTAGTTGTTACTGTACGTTTCTTTGTCTAGCTCAAACTCAAACAACCAAGATGATGTTTTGGACGGCATGTTGAAGTCGCTTGGGTTGCATAGTCATTGTCAGTATCAGGAAACTGCTTCGAGGGTGTCCTTCTCTTGCCAAACAGAACTTCAGCTTCAGCTCAAATGCACAGTCTTGCCCAGTACTCAAACCCTGTGAGCCTTCGTAAAGCTTCTCAGGCTTGTAAACCCGAGCTCCCAGGGTAGACTGTCATCCTGAAGCATAAAGTATCAGCTTGAAGGTTGGAAGTCTCCAAAGAAAGAGTAAACTTGCAGCTGTCAGTACTACTAGCAAGGGGCAAAGGTGGACAGTGACATCTAAGAGCAGCTCTATACCAAACACAACACATTCATGAGGATCACTGCCATCGTGAAACTTAGAAAACGCACGTCTGTTTTCTTCATTCAACTGGCGAGCTGCTCCGACTGAAATTAAAAGAAAGCCAGGTAGAAACTATCAAGTGATCTAAAAGAGGCTGGATGCCCCGCCGTCACATATTCCCAGGAGTACGAGGAAGCAAACAAATCAAGCAAAGTAGTATCTTTAGCATGCCAATCCAGCTTGATCATACACTCAAAAGGCAACCTAGAGAAACAAGAAAAGTAAGTACGAAGCCGATGCTGATACTCTTGAACAATCGTGCAATGAGCAACGCAATGGCAATCAAAATTAATCAAGGATCTCTGGTTGCATCTGTTCTGCAGGCGAAACCCCTTGGCTTTGAGCAAACTGAGAACTTTCCGCAAACGTGCAATTTTTGCACAGTACTACTCTCCTGTGGAAAGTCTCTCAATACACCTGCTAGCTGCTAGCTCTGCCATCCAAGTGACCACTTTCACTGCAAGTTGTCCATTGATCCCGAGGGAGCGCTGGCCTCTCAACAGCTCGAAACGAAGCCCATCTCAGCATTTCGGAGATGCTGAAACGACTGCCAAACATCACCAGCATAATGGAAAATGTATAGAACAAACAAGCAACAAAAAGCATTTCAAGCTAACCGCTGCAACAGTTGGAGCAGCACCGACCCATAAGTGCGCCGAGTGGCACATGTTCAAGAAGCGTTACTTGGTCTTGTTTTGCACCCACAAGTCAGTATAAATGCACCGATCCTTCCATTTCAGCCCTGTTGCGCTTAGCATCTTCTGGTGGACTGCCAATTGCCACTGGCACGAGGAGTGTGCCAAGTAATGGAAAGAAAAGCCTTGCTGGAAGCATCAGCTAGTCTCCATCGAAGGAGCTGGATCACCCAGGGCCAAGCACCACGCATCCATTGCACGGCTGATACCGGGCGAGTATTAGACGTACAAGCCTCAGCAAGCATTGGGATGGCATGCTGCAGCATCTTGGTATTATGAATCATCAAAACTGCACGCATCTGGTTTGTGTGAGCATGGCAAAGCTTAAGCACTTGAAAATTTACCTATGTGCCTCACAATGCCCTGTTGTTTATGGCATAGCAAAGTACAACTCGATAAAAAGCAATCCTAAGAAAAGCAATCTTGCTAGTTCTGATTTCAAGAACAAACGCCGACACAGCTTGAGTCTTTTGTCACAATGCGATGGGGGCAAATGTGCATTCACTTCCATACGGCCCTGCACCACGAGGGTCACAGGTGCCATTCCTCGACGGCTTTTCGATGACACGAAAACTATGCCATGCTGCTTCGGAAAAGTTTTCTGATTTTCTTTCTTGATACCAGCAACAGTTCTACACGAGGTGGGCTGCAAAGAAGGATTTGACAAACTTCAATGTGGATCCACGACTCTGAAGTGCTTTGCTTTCTGATTGACTTGTGATGGGATTCTTGTTATTCCTGTCCACATTTGTGTTTTTTCCTCAACCATACCCTGCAATGAAGCGACGTTAAAAGAACCAATGCGTTGGCATAGTCAACGAGGAACGGAACAATTAAGATAATCGGTTCATGACAGCATTATAGATACAGAGGTTCTGTCCTATAGATTCCGTATAGTCGATTCCATTCATCACCAGTTCAAAAGCGGTTTTCTTTGCGAGCCAGTTTTGCCTGGGACGACCGCACCGTTGTTAACCGTACTTCACTGTGTTTGGTGTTGTTGGTTCAAAACTTGCCTTGAAGGATAAACATCCACCTTTGTGTTTAACTATTGTTTTTGTTGTAACGAACTGGTGTTTCAGCTCCTTTCAAGGCATTATTGTCCCGCTCTGCGGAAGATTATTGCACAATTTTATATGGAACAAATGACTTTGCACGTGAATTGCCAGCCAGGTGGATTTGGGTGCAAGCAATGGAAGTTGTTTTTGTCGACATTGCTTATACCTGAGAAAGGGGAGGACGAAAGCCAGCGAGAAACCAATATGGTCGTGCAAGACTGGGGGGAAAAAATAGCGGAGCACTTATTGTTGAATGCCTGTAGCTTCCGTAGAGCTTGTATCAACGTGGAGTAGATCAAGATCGGAGCACAGCATGAAGTGTTGAATGTTTTTTCTCGATTTCCTGGCGCGATGCCCGAAAGGTGGTTTTTGGTTGTTTTCAATTGTGTTTCGGGCGCCGTGCATCAATGCGAAGCCCTATAAAGAGCAGGGCTGGGAGAAAAAAGAGGAGAGCACTCACTCTTGAATGGTTCTAGTTTTCGTGGAGCTGGTATCACTGCGACGTAGATGAAGATCGGAGCACAGCATGAAGTGTTGAATGTTTTTAGTATTCTTGATTTGCTTGGCGCGGCGCCTTCTGGAGCGTCCCTTGTTGGTGTTCTATTTGAGAATCCGTGCAAAAATAAACGTCAGTGAACACCAGGAGAATGATGCCCGAAGTGGCTTTTGTGGTTGTGTTGAAATGTGTTTCGGGTATCGTGCATCAATGCGAAGCCCTATAGAGAGCAGGGCCGGGAGGAAAAAATAGCAGAGCACCTATAGTTGAAAGCTTGTAGTTTCGTGGAGCTGGTATCACTGCGACTGAGATCAAGATCGGAGCACAGCATGAAGCGTTGAAGGCTTGCAGCTTTCTTGCTTCTCCTCTTGCGGCGCTCTTATCCCCAAGCCCCTACCTCGCCCAACTGGACATACTCACATCGTTCGCTCCCAGAGCGTTCACTCTTTGTTGCTTGGTCCTTCTTGGTGTGATCAGAGCTACACAGTCCCTATGCCCTGCTCAGGACTAGAAAAATTGTTTCCAGACCCCTTCATGATGCTAATGATGCACTACTCAGCGTCCATTGCCTGACTCGCATCACCAGACCCCATTTTCACTGCTTTTCTGACCCTTGCTTTGGAGCGCTCTCCCCCACCAAGCTCCGGGTTCACCCTCGCAAAATGTGCCTTTTCGCGCCCTCCCCCCCCACACCCCCTTAACTCACTTCATTCACTCTAAAGAGCTCAAGCCTAGCCTATCGGCTGGCTTTCGTAACATACAGATATATATATATATATATCACTTAATTTCAATGTGAGCTGTGGCCAAATGTTTCAAGGAGCACTAGCACCACCTCCATCAGTAGTTGTAGTACCACCATACTGCACTGCCTCCCACAGGAAACTATGCGAGTTAAGTATGGCATATATAGATATATATGAACCTCGGGGCAGCGCATGGTGCACGAGGCTTGTGCCTCAACATATCCTGGCTGCCACATCCTGTGTGTCCATGAGTTAAGAGGGACTAAGAATGTGTATATTTTCAAGAAGATACGGAGGTCTTAGGCTATTAGGTGTACCAAAGTGACTTTCTTCGAGCCTACAAAAGCAGGGCCACTTGTTGTGTTCGCCTTTGGCTCTTCGTCGCTTCCCGGGTAACCTATGTTTACTTGCTTGGGGAGCGAATCTTGCTACAAATGCCACTTAGCACACAATGTTCTTCTTATCATCTTTTTGACCCTGAGGATTCAACCCTTACCACTGACTTTCGCAGTCTTCCTTTCAAAACCTCAAAGCCCAACTAGTCTTCCAGCCAAGCAGCAGCTGAACACCAACAGTTGAGCTGCATGAATATAACCAGATCTCAATTCCTCATTCTTTCAGGGTCACAGTGACTCAGCATGGCAGGTCGCTTCCGCACGTTTTGTCAATTTAAATACAACATGTAACTTGACACGTGCGATGAAATTTACCGAGGCTTGGGCAGGCCTTATATGCTCGCAAAGCTGCTGCAAAGGTACCTGGTGAATCTCTTCTTTGCAAACTTTGAGAATGCGAAACAAGCCTCGAGAGCACCAAGTCGAACTGTGCCCAAGTCGGTCATCCTTCAGCACAAGACTCCTCTGATTGGTTTGGTGAAGCGCACAAATGCAACTGCTAATCACTGATAGGTGAACCGCACCTGCTGAAAACTGCCGCGGTACCCAGCGCGACGAGCTAACCGCAGCGTACACGTAGCTGCTACGTAGCTTGAGGATAGCCAGCCCAAATCAATGCGCTTTCAACCCACGGAGGTTCTTGTCAAATGCAAAAGAAATTCATCAATGTGTCAAACACAAAATGACAGCACAATGTTGTGAGCATGCTGCTGGCTGGGGCGGCATAGCAATTTGCTTTCCACCAACCATTGCCTCCAGGTTGCTCAGTCTCAGTCTGGCTGACTCTTTTGTTTGTCTGTCCATGGTCCTATCTGCTTCCCTCCTTTTCTCTCTATTACACCAATCTCTATCACTCATCACATGTTCTAGCGCACAAAAATATCGTATGTACAATCCAACAATCATTGACTCATTGAGTGCCTGGGTTCCCACTGGCACCGGCAAAGGCACCATTGCATGAAGATGAAGTGTTCCAGGCGAACCCTGAGCACAACGATTCTCGAAGGGTATTTCACCACATTTGCACAAACGATTTGCAAAGCAAAGACACATAAGAGCAATTTGTAGATGGCACGAAAATGTGGTTTGATTGGGTTGGATTGGTAGGAGAAAAAAATGTGTTGACTTTGTCGGCACTTGGCGCAAGCAAAGCGCCTGCGGATGAACTGGACAACCTCCTTGCAACCTTGACAATTGCATGGCGTGTGGTGCGGCCATTGTCACATGGTGGGGCAAAGCCATCCTGAAACCAACAACACCAACAGTCAAGTTCAGCTGATTGTCATGGTACAATGCCAGTACTCAATCTGTTCCTTCAATTTGAATTACAAGAAACTGAGGTGATTTTTTTCGATTTTTTATTCCGTGTTGAGCAGTCACCAGAAAACCTAACCTTTGAAACTTTCAAATGTTGCTAGGTGCTGGTGCCTGGTTGGTCCCATTTTGTCCGTTTTTTTACCTGCGAGCCGTCATAGTTGTCAAGCACATTGCCAATGGCACAGGGCAAGTGTGGAACCATATGTGGTTTGTGTTTGTGTTGAAAGTGAACTTCGGAAGTAGAAACTGTTTCGAACCAAAATACATGTTCAACTGCATTCCTCACATTGTGATGTAGTGTATGTAAAAGAATCGAAAAATACTGACGTCCACCCCAGAAAATCCCTTACACAGTTGACGATTGCTGTTAAAGCCTGGTGCCGCAGCCCGTAGCACTTTCAAAATCAATGCAATACAATGGCCAAGCCGGGATCCCACTACGCCCTGGGCTGTTGTGATTTCAAAGTTGCATGTGAACGGAACAACCGCCATCCTCCATTCATGAAATGGGTAACACAAAACTTCAATTGGCAATTAATAAGATGCAGTTTTCTTGCAAATTTGTGTTCTTTTGAGTCAACATTTGTCAAGAAAACTGCACTGCCAAGAGTGGCTGCACAACAATTGCATCCAGCAGGAAAGCCTGAAATGTGCAAAAAAACAAAAACAAAAAGAAATCAGAGAGTCTTGACTGAAACCCTCTGAAAACATGTTTTTTTGTTTTTTCGTATTTGTCCACAGGGTCCAAATGTTTCCACCGAGTGCTCTCTGGCAGGGCAGTTTTTTTGACAAATGTTGATTTTTCTCGCAAATTTGTGTTCTTTTGAGTCAATATGTGTCAAGCTTTTTTGCACGGGCCGAGGCGCTATGTGTGCAGAGGATGCACAAGTCACCTTAGGCTAGTGAAGAGAGAGGTACGAACCAAGTAGCCAAGCAACACCACACCAAAACAAACAAAACACCAAAAACCAAACACCAACACACAGAAAACCAAAAGCCAGGTTCGTAACTCGAGTCGGCTATGTCAGCCAGTTGAGAATTTGAGTCAATATGTGTCAAAAAAACTGCACTGCCAGGAGGGCACCCTGTTGTTTTGTGGACAACCAGAAGCTGCGAAACGAAAGCCAGCGTTTCTACATTTCGAGTGTGCTTTCTCAGGCCCCCCACCCCCCCTTCTACCCAGTGCCCAAGACGATATGTAAGGACACTGGGCAAATTCGCAAAGCAAGCGAGAAACGAAGCGCAGAAAAGGACACGGCACAACCAACCAATCACGTTTCACAATGCTTCACAAGGGTCTTGCATGAAGGAGGCGAGCTGACTGATGAAGAGCAATGCTATCCTGCAGCTCGCGCACTTTCCGCTCCTGTAGGCGAAGACCCTTACTGTCGCCAGGCTGTACATTGAGCCCACTCTCAAAGGAGAGAGTGGTCGGTGACCCAGTCGTTAGCGATCCCATGCACCCGAGTGGGGCACATCTGTCTCGCGACAGGACCCTAACACTGTTGGGGAAGAACCGACGGTCTTGTCCACCGTGAGCTTGGCTGCCCACGATGAATTGACCGTCCAGTGATTTGTGTGAGTGCATGGCATCTGGAAAGTCCCATCTTTGGACGGACAACCGAGGGTGGCAGTTTGACTGTCTGAACCTGATGGCAAGTTTGCCATGCTGCAGCTCCTGTCGTGTGGAGTCCTCATGCTACCTCCACTCAATGTTTGCGGGCATGGTGCGTTCATTGCCCGCAAGCGTGACAAGTGCAAGGGAACCAGCTGTCAGACCATCAGGCTGTTCAGCATCCTGCAGGATGATCTTGAGCCATCTTTTGCGTCAGTATGAGACAACTCTGCCCCTCAGACAGACTGATGAACAATGGCCAAGGCCATCATCTCACGCCACCCTGTGCAAGGGGAACCAGACTGGGAGGCTTTCTCTGCTTTTTCTCTTTTCCCAAGGCCAAGGCCGTTTCAAAAACGTCACTTTCTGCGCATGGTCCTCTCCAGGTCCCTGCCAAAGGTTCAGTTGCAGGAGTTGTGTTGAAGCATGCTTGGAATGTCAACAGTCGCAAGGTGGTGCAGCACGCAAAGAACAAGGTCATCCGAGTGGAGATTGCAAGTTCAAAGAGGAAAAAACAGACCAGCAAACAAGAAAACGAAAAACCGACAACAACACAAACAAAACCCGCAGAGTTTTAGCTCTGTGCATGAAGGTGACACTTTGTGAAACGATGGAACTGGCAACCTGCCTTGCAACACCGTGTTCTGATTGATGAAGCCTCATTTGAAGCAAGGTGCTTCGGCTGCAAAAGTCATCGCACGTCATCGCACGAAGGATGCAGCAGATTTCGAAAGTGGTGCACGAATCAAACAGCCTCTTTGACTGGAAAACGGACAATGACCGGATGATGAAGTACTGAGTGCAAAGGCTGAATTCATTCCCTCGTTTCACCTTGTTTCACCCTTTTTCTGCTGCTGACGCAGCGACTTGAGGTACGAACCTTGCCTTCGGTTTGGGTGGGTTGGGTTTGTTTGTTTGGGGGTTGTTGTTTCTGGTTTCAGCTTGCCGCTTGGTTCGTATCTCTCTCATATGACTGGCCTGATTTTTTTTGCACGAGTCGAGGTGCTGGTGTGCAGGTTACGCACAAGTCACCTTAAGCTAGTTAGAGAGAGAGACACGAACCAAGCGGCCATCAGGAAACAAACCAACCAACCCCCAACCAAAAACCCAACCAGAATCCTGTCTTCTTCTTCTCTTCAATTTCGTTTTCTCTGAGCAACTTGGGTTCGAGCATCAACTAAGATCTCAACTCCTGTGGTCCAAACTGGTCTCCAGGTCGATCAACCGTCAACAAATCAAGAACGACAAGCTTCGAGCAAGTTCAAATCAAGATCAACCCATCAACCAAGCTTCAACCAAGCAACCAAAACAACAAGGATCCAAGGTCTCTCAGACAGCAGGGCTTCACAGAGCTGCACTGGGGCCAGCTCTTCGCCTCTGCTCTTGTCATCACTGGAACCCTGAAACCATCAACGGTTTCAAGTGGATACCTGACAGGTCAAGCAAATCAAAGGTTCCTGCATACAAAACCTGTCACATTCAACGTGCCAAAAGTTTCACACAGCAAATGGAAATGAAGTCTAGTTGCAACCCTTTCTAGATACAATCCCTGGGCTACTGTTCAAACTCGCAACTTCCAAAGCATGTCTCTGGTTTCTAAAACACTTTCTCTTGCCCTCAACTGCAACCAATCGACTCGACATCAAATGTCATACGGTTCAAAGTCCACAGCAATCAAAGGAAGCTAGAACCCCTGCTAGCTACAAACCCCTTTTTACTGTTTGCCATGGTCCATGGTGCAAATGCAAAAGACATCACTGATTCTCACAGTTCTCAACCCTTGATCTCTTCTTAATCTCACTTCCTCTGAACCCCTGGCCTCATCCCTTTTCTTCCTGTCAGGTTCAACCACAGCGATTGCACAAAATTCAACTTCTCAAGATCACGACCGTGCAAGCCCTTGACTCAACCAGAAAACTTGAACAAGACAACAGGAAGTTCACGTGAAGATCCAATGAGACTCAAACAAGGTTCAAACCCTCGAGTAAACTTTTCTTTCCACAAGGCCTCCATCTGAAATCCAATCGCTAACTTAGGGTGCTACACCCCCAGGAAGCGGAGCAACATGATCTCTAAAAGATCTAAATGTCACCCTGGTCTGGCTCAGCCCAGGCCCATGATCACTCACTCAGACGGACATGTTTCCAAAAAGGAGGTTGTGGCCCCCCAGATCCAGATGAGCATCCTGATGAACACGGCGTTGACGGTGTCGTACAGGCAGCCGGCGCCACAGCCGGGGCATATCCCTGATGCGGGAACGATGGTGCCGGAGGGAACCCTGTCGGTGGAGCCTGGTCGGCATCAACTTCGGAGCTGGCGGCGGCGCAGCCATCCCTGTTCCAAGCGTAGCTTGGGGCGCTCCTCCTGCCGGCGTACCCGCCACAAAGCCAGCTGGAGCTGACCCTGGAGGCGAGCTGGCAGGCGAACTCGTGGTCCCTGCCAAGGATGCAGCTTTTGCCGCCTGAGTTGCCTGAGCAACCAACGTCGATTTCCGTTGTTCGACGTCTACAAGCGTCTTCATGGTGGAACGCAAAGTCTCCAGCAATAGGTTCGTCTTGTCCATCGATTCCCTTGCTACTCAACGCTCTTGCCGAGCTGACTCAAAACCTTGCCGATCGAAAGAAGGCTTTCTTTGGTCGACGTGTTCACAGATTTGCCCACACCG